AAGTTGTATGTATGGCTAGTTGTATACTCACCTTGTACAAGTTATATAATCATAATTAAAATACAATAAAGGCAATAACCACTGATAACTATGGCCTTAGTGAAAGCAAAAAAAAAAATAAAAAAATAAAAAAATAAACATATTAATAATCATTTTGAAATTTAAATTTTTAAACCAATTTATTAGTTTGATTTCTGTTATATGCAAACACAAATTAATTAATACACAATGCTACATTATATAAATCAATTAAGAATTAAAAAATTCATAAATGATCTTGCTCGTAAATAGGCGATTATAAAAAACATTTAGTGAAGGTTTGATTTGGATAATTATTGATATAAGATAATGATTTTGTTACCAAATATTAACAAAATTGCATTGGTATATATTTGGTTACCAGTTTTAGAAGTAGACGTTGAATGTAACTTTTCAACTTATAAGTGAATTTTAGCATTGTCAAAAAATTCAATTAGAATGTGAAATTTTTTTAATTTTAATAAATAAATCATCTTTCCAAAGAACATTTAAGAATTGCATTCTCAATATTTAAAATTGCTTCTCTTATTTAATTATTTCACATAATTTTAAATTTATTTCGCATCCATCGCATAATTGACCTCGACCATATCGCATTATCTACCTTATTGCATCGCATAATTCTGAACACCCTAGTGTAAATCCGAACGATTACCTGAGATCAGGGACAGTGAAAAATATTGGCAAAAATATTTCTCGATTTACCAAGATTGGCCAATCAGAATGCATGATTTAGTGTAATACAATATAACGTGATCAGTAATGTTAACATGGTTTTCTGTTTGTTGATTATCTACATTTCCAAACTTACCGACAGTTCAGGTTGGCCAGATCAGCCCAAATAATACACTTAATTTTGACCGCAGTGGTATTACATATAATCAACATAATTCACTGAGATTCCTTAATAGGTGGTAGGCTAAAGCGGAACGAGTTTTAGAGTCACCTTTTTGATGTAGTTAGGGTTAGTGGGTCAGTATGAAGATCATATATTGAATTAACTCCGCTTTAGCCGACCCCCTTAATAGGCAAAATGGCCGTAATTTTTAACTGTTTAGCTAATTCGAGCTGACGCAACCAAGTTATTTTTATTTACAAACCACCAAGTCCGGGAGTGTGGAGTCATTTCTACAAATATAAACGTCATAGATGGAATTCTAACAAAGATTAAAAATGAAAATTCTGACAATAATTGCAAATATTATTGGTTAAAAAAATGGATAGCGCAGCAAGAAATTTCAATACAACTTCTATTAATATTATTAGAGACTCATGCCAACCTTTTAGACACTAATTAGACTAATTACCACTAAAAAAAAAAAAAAAAAAATCAAAAATTACACGGTTTTATATATTGACATTTTTGAGAATTCGTTTTTTTTAAAGGTATCTTTAAAAGGAATAATCCACAAATTTCACCCTAAAATTTGACACTATACAGTACATTATTTACATTGTAAAATAATGAACTACTGAATAGAGCATTTGAAAATTAATAAATTGAAGCGACTGCAGGTTTCGGAACAACATATACGTAAATAAGTGGCTTAAATTAGTAGTTCCAAATGAAAACCTGTAAATCTTAACCATAAAGAACCGAGTTTTTTCTTTACGACGCTCAAACCTGCACTATTTTTATTTAATAAACAAAAAAGGATTGTATTGGTTTGTTTTTATTAAGGTTACAATTATAAATCATTGCGCCGATTCTGCAAGATAAAAATTTGACTAAACAATAAAGTTTAGATTAGTGTTTATACCATAGTTTAGGTTTATACTTTAACCTAAACTTATAGATTAGAATTTTTTTCGGTTCCCATCCATATAAAATTTGAAACAATTGTCGAAAACCTTGTTATTCTTCGCACGCGTAGTAAACGCATTTATATAAATGCTGCAATGTTTCAACATTACACATGCATTTATAACGTGTAGCTAATGAAGTTGGAGAAATTTTTAAACAACAAACATATGAACTCTGCTAAGATATGCACGAGTACAATACTTTTCTTTCCTTTTTGTATTTATACAAAATTATGTAAATTCTTTACGAAAGCATTTCGTGCTTCCGTATTGCTTACATAAAAATTATGTAACTTAAATTAGCGGAAAGGCGGGATTTTTCGTATTTATATTGTTTCATGTTAAAAGGTTTGGATAGAACGTGATTTTATTGGTGATCAGATTTTACGTCAAGCGTCGAATTTATTGAAAAAAGTAGTAGTATCAAACGAAATAGACCATTTGTACTACGCAACAGATCTATATTGTAACCTAGAATGTATTCAACCTTGAGTTTAGAGAAACTTGACAGTTTGTAAAAAAATAGAATAGAATAATTCTATCATTATAATCATGTATGATAAAGCATACTGACCGCGTATTAAAAATGGTAAATTTGGTTTTTTTTATTACATTGTGTATGAGATCAAAGTCCTTGCTAACTTGCTTTAGGGAAAAATTTCATGAGCACGTACGTTTGTATATCAATTACACCAGCATTTAATGAAATAACATTGTGCTAATCTTTTCATGGATGCCACTCAAAGGACATGCACTTCCCTCTTTCCTTATCGTCATTAGTAACTTTATTTAATATGGATGAATCATCTTGATAATCCGTTATCTCAAGATTTAAATTCACATATTGTGTATGTATATATATGTGCATATATATATTCATATATATATATGTATATAGTATATACTGTATATACTGTATATATATATATATATATTATTGGTTTTTTTTTTCTTTTTTTTTTTACATTCAATCCCTCATAAGCAAATTCTTTCAAATTTCAAACTTATACTTCAACGATCCTTAATCCTTAAACTACAATTCCTTCCAATAATATACGATAATGGGTGGATTTTTCTCTAAACCACGACCACGTAACTTAAAACCTAAAGTCATAATAAGCCGAAGCCTTTCTTCCAAAACATCCACTCGCTCTTCCTCTGTCAATTCAATGTCATCGATTCCTTCCACTAACTCTAATGATACACCTAATTATTTTAGATATTTTAAAGATATCTATGAATCATCAGAAACAGTAGGAACATTAAATGGAACAATAGATGGTTTGCAACTTGCTCATTACTTGCTCAGAGGTTTGTGGGGAGATAATTATTCAGCACCAGTTGCTGATATTTTGAAAACAGAGGGATCTCGCGTCCTTGATATTCGGTATGTAATTATTCAATTAAACTATCTATCTTAAATTATCTAGTATTCGTTTTTAATTCCTTATTAATAGTTGTGGTCCAGGTACTTGGATTCTCGAAATGAGCGATGAATTTCCTACGTCTTATTTCACCGGTATAGATGTCGATAAACTATATCCAACTGAAATAAAACCACGAAACGTAAATTTTGAATATGGAAATTATGAAAAATTAAATTTTCCTGATGATCATTTTGATTATGTTTATGTAAATTTCTTATGTTTCGGAATACCTGCGGATAAATGGGAAAATAAGGTCGTTCAGGAAATTATTAGAGTTCTTAAGCCAGAAGGGCATTTTGAGATCTCTCTAAGTATGTTTTGCTTTCGTTAAAATTAAATATATTTCGGTTTTATAATTAAAGCCATAAATATCAATTTGGTTTTTGATTGTTAGGTGAAATACATTGGTACAATGGAGGTCCAATTGCGAAGCAGTGGATGACTACCAGTAAGTATCACTTATGACTTCTGACGTTATATTTCTTTTTCAAAATTTCTTATATGATCTTTCCAATCAAACTGAATAGTCACCAAAGAGCTAAAAGCCAAAAATGTTGAATATACATCCGGTTCTAAAATCATCGAAGCACTTGAGAAAACTGGTAGATTCTCTCAAATACACATCGATGAAAAGAATAGTCCAATAGGTTCATGGGGCGGTAGTGTTGGTGAAACGTCTCTATATATTCTAAAAGATTTTATTAAAAACTTAAAGCCAATTTTCGAGAGTATAATAACTTACAATAATGAAAAAACTTATGAAGATATGATTAATGATTTAATCAATGAAATTGAAGAGCAAAATATGTACTTTAAAACCAAAAGATTTTGGACTATGAAACAATAATCATGTAATTATGTTGATCTTATAATTATGTTCTTTTTCATATTGTAAACACATTAACCCCTTTTCGATTTAAGAAAAAAATATTTTATCTTACATAGAGAAGGTTGTACAAATTCCAAAAAAATTGGTTTAAGTAGAATAGCAATTCTTCTTAATTAACAAAAATATTTATGTAAAGTAGAATAGCAATTCTTCTTAATTAACAAAAATAATTATGTACATTTAATTTTTTTTTTTTTTAAAAAAAAAACAAAATTTAATTTATAAGATTAACAACCTTTACGCATTTAAGCTTATTAATAAAATAAAATTTGTTAATATCGATATGTGCTATCAGGGTGTTATCCATAATCTATTCCAGATGATTAACACATAGTTAAAATAAACTTAAGGTTATCAAACCAAGTTTAGTTCATAATCTTTTTGTATTGTAACATAAGTATTATCGTGACTTTAAGTTATACAGCTAACAATTATTACAGTTGTTTTCATGGATTTCGGGACATCTGATAAAAAATTGACCAAATAATTATTTTCCGTTTTGATAAGTTTTTGATAAACTTTTTTTTGCAATCATATTTGAATGTTTTATAATAAATACATTACACGAACAGGCGTAACAGAAAAAAAGTTCAATAATGAACAGGCGTAATATAAAAAAAAGTTCAATATGGACAAGAGTTAATTAATGGTTTAATAAAAAGATATATAACGTTATTAATATTTGCCGAAACTATGTTAAGAATTATAAAAGTTTTAATATATAATAATTATTACAAAATGTAAGTAAAAAAGAAAACCAGCACGAATTAGATGAGAGTATTGAACAATAGATTTGACGATTAGCTTGTTCATCTATGATAAATATTATAAAGACACCAAGCTTGTCTGAAATAACCATAGTTAAATATGAAGAACCTACAAGCAAAAAACCCCAAGTTTTAACATTAAAATGTCATGTATGAATTACGTATCACATTTAATATAAATAAATACAGTAATATTTAATCAACACTAATTGTCACTTCGTGTCCCTTAATGTAAAATTCAAGTTTTCCCTTACAGCACTCATCATCACATTATCGTCATTTAAAGATATATCGACCATTACCGAAATCAAAAACTTATAATAACCATTCGAACAATTTTTTTTACCAAAATTAGCTGTAAATTTAGGCCGCAGAGTTAATTTGTGCTTCTCGCATCTCTTCCGAGTTATTGAATTCAAAATGTTATAAACCGCAGTGTTGTCAAAAGTGCAAGTGATTTTGAACTGGTGTTATTGTCATCACCTGATTCTTTTTTTCTGCGCCACTATGATTCACAAGTTACGTTCCTCAAACCGTTAACGTATGACCATCCATTCTATATTTATATCCCGATACATAGTTTTCTTATTACCATATCTAGTTATCCTTTATTTTCTTATTCATACACACTTAGCTTATTTTTCATATCTAAATACCATACTGGGATCGACCGTCAACGCATAAAGCATAATCGTTGATATCTAGTACACGAATGTACAACATCGGTCTAATTACAAACATAATGCAGGTGATATAGTGATGATCACTAATCAATATTTTTTATAGGGTTGGATTGGTCCGGTCTGGTCCATCCCGGTCTCTAATAAGACCGGTCCAATAGTATTTATCGGTCCAGTCCGATCAGTCCCTGGTCTTAGAAATAGACTATTTTTCACGTGAGATATGTACAATTTTATCGTTATTGTTATCAAATTTAAATTTCAGATCAATTAAGCCAGTTGTGATAAATTCTGGAAAAGCTACGTGCAAATTATTTTCTCTCTATATACAGACAACACAATATAGCAAAAAATTTTTAGCAACATAGATTTATATTACCTAACTTATTGCTTTGTTCTTTGCAAAATTTTAGTACTTTGGCAAATGATTTATACAAATATATTAACAAATCTCTCATTAATCCAGCTTTGTAAGCATAAGATTGTACATGCAGTGTCTTTCTTCCAATCTACTCCGCATTGGTGAAATTGTTTGCTCAGCCACTAAAAATGCCTGTTCTGAAGCAACACTAGTTGCTTGAATTGACAAATAGTTCTAAGCAATTAGACACAATCTTGGATATTTTTTTTGTTATACCTGTCATTACAATAATGGATTAGTATAATCTTCTAAGTGTAATGTCAAATATTTTCTTAATTCTTCTTGTATTTGATTTTTTAATGATGAATCTAATATTTTATTACTTTCTTGTTGTATAAATATTGATAATTTATTAAAAAAATAAGAAATATTAGTATTATTTTGTAATTGGCAAAAATAATCTTGTGTATTTATTAAATCATTAAAACAAAATATCATAGTTGGTTGAGAGATTATAGTGTATTCATTTAAATTTGATATTAAACAAATTGTACTATTTCTTTCATATTTATCTTTAAAGGCTGAGAGTTTTATTCTTGGATTCAGTAATGATAAGATCTATAAAAATTTATCTAAAATTATCTAGTAACATTCCAATTTTTAATAAATTACATTTGTTATTAAGTTTTGTAAAAAGATGTTATTATTTATGAATTTAATTAAATGTTCTTAAATATTTAAAAATATAAAATGAACATTATTATAAGTTGAATAACTAGAAACAAAAAAGAACCAAATAGCACATTTAATTAGTTTTAAAAAAATCATTATATTCTTTTATATTAATATTATATTATTGATATTTTTTTAAAAAAAATTTAATTATAGTATATAGTCATATCTTTTTAAATATATCCTGCCAGGAGCATAGTGAAAAAAAATTAAAATTTTATATTTAAAATAAGCTTACATTTATAGAAAATAAAATATATAGAGTGTTGAAGTCAAATTATATTATGTTTTTTTTTTTGGTATTAAGGTGAGGCCTTGCTCATATCTTTATTAGTAATTTTAGTTGTACATATTAATATACTAT